ATAGTCATCACTAAGAAATTAATTGTACCAATTTTGTCAAGCCTTGAAATCTTTAAGAGGCCAATTAATTAATCACTAAGAAATTAATTGTACCAATTTTATCAAGCCTTGACATCTTTGCCCCTATGGGGCAATGGGATACAATAAGTGAGTACAGTAGGCTGGCAGTAGGGAGTGGTGAAGATTGTGGCAAACTACAGAGGCATATCCTGCCTGATGGGGGCCAAGTACAGCTATGGGGGAAAGTGGATCTAGCACCATCTGGTTATCTAACTTTTTCAGAAATCTAAAAAACATGGATTGCGTTTATAAAAAATAATTGTTAATACATAATTTCCCCCTTTTCAAAACATTCAATCCAAAGTACATGCATGCCTAAATTTGGTCCATGGTTGTTATTTTGTAACCTCTGCCCAGAGTCAGAGTTGGGCTAGATGAGTTTCAGTGCCACCAATCAGATGTCTCAAGGCTCAATCTGCTAAGCCTAACGGTGAGCATTCACCTCCATGGACCCTGACTCAGTAGCATTTCAAGTTTGAAATGTTATTTCTTCTCCTCTCTAGCCTTCCTTTAGCCACCTCTCTCAGCAGAGAAAGATGATTTTCACCCCAACTCTAGAATAAGGCCACCACTGAATGCCTACCAAAGGTGCAAGGCTATAGTCCAGATGGTGACTGTTTATGCAAGCTGCCTGGGCAGGGTCCCCAGGTGGCTGCAGAGGACACAGGCCATAGGGAATTGTACTGGCAATGACCTTGAGGAGTGTCAGATTCTCATAAGCATTTGGGCACTTTGCTGATTACTAAATGGGAAAAATGTCCAAACCACAGGCCACTTGATTTGACTCTGCCGAAATGATTATTGTACTTGTGCGACAGACTGATATTTCCCTCTCCTTTCCAACTGGTGTTGGAGTGAGTGGATCTGGCTCACGCTCACCCTTCTGGGTAGTTACCTCGTGGGGAAGATTATCTCTTTTCACAGGCAAAACTATTCCTGCCTTTTGGCTGCCTAAGGAATAAAACCAAGTCCAACCAAAGTCAAGTGCCAGGAAATTTCAGAACTTCCTCACATTCCATATGTATTGTCTACAAAGGTCTTTGAAATTTTCCCTGCTCTAATACTCAGAGGGGATACAGAGTTAAAAAATAAAATAGAACAGAACCAACTACAATAAAGGAAAAAGAAGAAAGGAGGAAAGACCCTGGGTGAAAAATGACAGCACTTTTCATTTTGAGGAGCTTGTAGCAAATAATTTAGAATAAGGAGAATAGTTTTGTTTTGATGGAGCTGCTATATTGAAGTTCTTTAAAATATGAGCTGTAGACTCAGAATTTTGTAATGCTGTGGATGGAGCCCTCTTCTGGAGAAATTTTTCAACATGTATTAAAATAAAATCAAAAACACACAGAGATGTACACACACACAAAATATCAGTGTCTATTTAGATGATATGACTGTCAATCAGGTAAATTCAATCCAGAGTTTGTTTTTTTTTTTTTATCTTCCTCTACATTGAAATTAACTGGACTCCCTAAGCAATGGTATTTCTGGAAGGAAGGAAAAGAGGAAATTCTCAACAACCTAGCTATACTTTAACCTAAACGGTGAACTTCAGATTGAGGTTCAATTTACACATCCAAATTCTGGCACTTTTAGATAATACAGTTATTGGATACATTGGTTTGTTGGGCAATTTCACTGTAACATATAGAGGATACTTCTGGAAGGAAATAGATTTTAGTTAATGGAAAACCCGAAGGCTAAAGATAGAAAAGGGGAGAAGGGAGGGAGGCGGAGTGGGAGAGATCAACTAAGATGACTCTTGAGGCTTTTAATATAGACTGTGGAATTATACAAATTCCAGATCACATACTTAGCTTTGCAGTTTATTAAATCTCTTTTGGGACTTGCAAAAAAAAAAAAAAAAAAAAACCAAACCTGTACAGACAGGTGAACTCTACCAAGCTGATTCCCCTCATCACTTAAAAATGTCATGTATTGGCCTGTGGAGGGAGGAGGGTGCATTCTGAAACTGTGAGTCTTTTCCCCTCATCAATAAGGTTCTGGAAATAAACACAGCTCTTAAAACATAACACAAAAACTTGTGGGAGCGCTAGAAGACACTGATTCTCATCTAAAATCCTGAAAAATCAAGATTCTAACTCCAAGAGAGAATTTAAATCAAAACCTTAGAATTCTGTGGAACATTTTTAGTCACTCCCAAGTGACTGCTCTCCAAAACTGAACCACTCCCTAAAATCCTAATTCTTGGGGGATTACTCGTTCATTGTTGAAAGTTTTGATTAGTCATAAGTGCTACCCCAATAGGTGGGGAATCATATTTACAGTGGAATTTCTAGCTCATGTTTTTCCTGATTTGTTTCACATTCATCATTTGTTGTAGCCAAATTCCAGAGGCCACTTTTGGGACAGACTTTCCCAAAACACCCCAGGGGAAAGGAGAGGTGCCTGTCCAACGTTGTCAGCTTCCAGCCATTGTTGCTTAGAATTCCTCATCTCCTACCAAAATACCTAAAATGGCAACAGAGCCAATGAGCTTACAGAGACTGATGGCTTCCAAAGCCAGACCATGTGCATTATAACTGCGGTGGAAAAAACCACACAGGCTTGCCTGAGCACCACCAGGGCCCAGTGACTAATTTGCTTTCTTCTGTTTTTTCTCTGCCTCAGGAAAGTTTTGTTTTTGCTTGTTGGCTCCTAGGCTCCGCGACTTTTGCCACTTTTTTTCTATGGCTCATGGAGCCCTGCACTTGAACCTATTGCTAGTTAACTTGATTGCCTCGAAATGATTTCTCTGTGAGGTACTATTGCTACCAGGATATCAATTACTACCCTAATGTGGACATTTGCTCCAATTATGCTTAACAATCAGACAGAGAAATAAGGCTCTTAGGGCAAGCAATTCAATTCACAGTAAAACCTCTGCTCCCCTCTTCTAAGTAAATAGAGTGAGCCTTCAGAACTAGCTGGGCCCTGCATGAGGAGACACACCAGTTGCTTTGCAAAAAGTATCATGAACAATGCTCCCCAGTGCACGAAGATCGCCAGGCACCGCCACGTGGTCTGTCTTGCTCTACAGAAGGTAGAACTTTGGGCCAGCCCTGGAATCCAAACTGAGGCTGAAACATGTCAAGAGAGAAGGAGGTCTGTAGAAATCCCGGAGAAACCAATGGGAAGGGAAGTGCTGCACACAGGACAATTCCCAGGAGGCACACCTTGTGTAAATGCATTCCCAAGGGCACCCTGTTGAATGCGGTCTTCCCCACCCAGCAGTCCTAGAAAGGTGGTAGGTTATCTTGAAAGTTCAAAGAGGTTGAGCAACCTGCCAAGGGTAGTGTCTGGATCTGTCTGAATCCCTTCTGTCTAAGGCATGCTCTGAGCCCCCTTGCTAAACTGCAGTATACGTAGACACATACAGTCTTAGGGAATGGGTCTAGGAAGTGTGGAAAACCAATTCACAGCAGGCATAGAATCCATGGCAGAATTAAAGACAAAGTCCCACAAAAGAGGAGCTATAACTGAGTAGTGCTGAAAGGGGGCCAACAATCCAGGGGAGGAAGGAGGCAGGAAATCTGTCTTAGCAGCCTGCACCTTCATCTGCCCCTGGAACTGTCCCTATCCCCTTCTTTGAGTCATCCCCTGATCACTGCATTTCTGAGCTGCTGGCCCATTTCCAAAGTCTAACCACAACATTGAGCCAGCACAGGTCTCCCCTAGAAGCCAGCCCCTGCCTGGGACCCTAAAAGCCTTTCTCTGCTTTCACCCAAAAGTACACACATGTGTCTCTTCCCTGGCACCCGGAGTCCTAGCCAGTAACTCAACACCATTCCTAGCACCCCAAGCCTGGCCCTGCCCTGTCCTCCTCCACCCACTTGTAGCCTCCCAGCTCACTCCAAGTCCCAGAGGCTGCCAAGGAGGCCTTGGGTCTGAGTCAGGGTGCTCTCAGAAACCACAGGCTCCCTAGCAGGCTGAGGTGCTGCTCCCCTCCGCCTCCAGCACCTCAGGCCTGGCCTCAGAGCACTGCTTTCCAGCACGCAAACTTCCAAACATCTCCGAGATGCAGAGTTGATCGCTGGAGGACCGTGGCTCCTGCCCCTCCCTCTCCTGGTTGGCGGGCCCTTTCCTGGCGGCACAGCGCTCCTAGGGTTAACAGGCAGCTGCAGCCGGGTGGGCAAGGCTTGAACTTTTCTCCGAGCTCCGCTCCCGCCCAGGGAAGGCGGCAGAGGCGGCAGCCCGGGCTCTAGCTGGAGCTCCAGCTGGCTGGACAATGGGGGCGCCGCCGGGGGCTGGGGGCTGGGGCCTGCGCCCTGGCGGGGGATGTGCTCCAGCCCTTCTGGGCCCAGGGTTTGGGAAGGAAAGGACCCCGATGCGGGCGCGGCCGGCGCTGGCGCCTTTGAGCGACAGCAGCAGCCGGCTGCGGCTCTCTGCTGGCCCGCGGCGCCTTCCAGCGCGCGATGGGCTGGGCACTGGGGCCCGGGAGCCCCGGGAAGTCAGCGATGCCAGCTCGGCCTCTCCAGCTAGGCAGCCCACAATCCAGACCGAGCAGCACTTCCCCCGCTGAATGCTGGGCTGGGGGTGACCACGACTCGCTGGAGTCGCCACAACTGAGTCTTTCTCTGATACACCGAGCCTCCGGAGGAGGCGAACCAAAGTTACCCCACTTGATGTAGGCGAGAATGTCGCCCCGGCTCATAAAAAGGGACTGGGGATTTCTTCCTTCCTTCCCGTGTGTACACACACACACACACACACACACACACACACACGCGAGGAGTGGGGAGGTTGGAAGCCAGGCCCCCTAGGATCTCTGCGCCGGTAATGACCTCTCTGCCAAGCCCCGGGTCTGTCTTCACTGCCGCGCCCGCCCCGAGCCCCCGATCCTCCGATCCCCCGGAAAGCCCCCTCGCCCAGCCTGCGCCCGGCGACAGGAATGCAGAAATGGGGCGCAGAGCGCGCCGGCAGCCCCTCTTCCCTACCTGGGACAGGAGGACGCACACGACGAGTGGAGTTCGCGGCTGCATTTTGCCCGACTAGAAGCGCCCGGCGGCGTTTTCATTCATGCACGCGGCTGCACTGAGCATATTTTCCGTGGGAGCCAGGCTTTGAGGAGAGGCTCTGCCTCGCCAGCCAGCCAACTTCCCAAATAGATCAGCAGCAGCATCACGAAAGCATTGGGTAGAGGCTGATGACCAGGACCAATGGCTTTACAAGACGGATTCCTTCATAAAGCTCCCTCGCTTTGCATGGCAGATACGGGGTGAGCACCTCATGAAGAGCGAGCCCAGAGGAGGTGGCAGCCCATTTGCTTCTTTGGACTGTTGGGGCCCAGCCTCACAAATCATGCTGGGCAGTGCCAGCCGGTTCCACTTTTCCAGAGAATGGAATTGCGCCGGGTACTGGCGGCCACTTCCAGCCTAGTGCAGTAAGATTCTCTTTATTAAAATGTTAATAAGATCCACTTTATTTCCAATAAATCAAATAAAATGACCCCAGCAATTTCAGCCTTTTCTACACCTGGAAAGACTTCGCAGGTTTTTTTTTTTCTCTCCCCCCTACCACCCAGTGTTGCCCAAGTCATGATGATGTTTGGTTTTTCTCTGCCATCTCACAAATCACAAAAAGGACAGATCAATTTTAGCTTCTAGGAAAAAAAAAAATCTATCAAGGAGCAATAGATTTTATTAACTGCTCAGGTGAAATTTTCACTGGTCACCCACTCAACCAATGTGCAGTTGGCACCAAAGCTAAGACCTTGATTTGAGGAAACCCTTTTTCCTACATAGATGTGACCTTTCAGAAGCTCTAATCTAGTCTCAGGGACTCAGAACATTGGAAGCCACTGCCCAAGGGATTTTATAAGTGGGGTGCTTTGGAAATGAGGGTAAGAGGGACATCTAGGCCTCCCTTCCCTAGTAGGAATCTAAGAATATGCAGTAAAGACCTTACTTGATCATTTTTACATAGCCTTCTTCTAAAAAGGATTTAAGAGATTTTATAATAAAGGACATTTGTATGATATGATTTATGTAACCAAAATATTTAATAGAAAATCCAGGCAGAAGGAGAAGTTCAGAAAACTGAAATGCTAAGCTCAAACTCTAACATATTTGCTTTGATTAGGATGAGCTTCCTGACCGCCAAAGCAATAACAGACACATAAGTCAATAAGTTACATAGTTCTTGTTATAGAGACATGTGTACAATGTTTCTGAACATTGTACACATTTCCCCTGATGCAAAATATTGGATAAAATGTACTATGTGATATCCGACACAGTAGGATACTGAGTAATGGGCCATGCAGAGATGCAGTGGACTGGGCTGTATTCCCAGCATCTGGCACAAGGCCTAGAACATGGAGACACTGATTAGTGTGTGTTAAAGAGATAGATGGCTACATTTACTCAAGATGTGGCAGACAGTGGGGAGGGGCAAGGATCTAGAGCCACACTGCCTAGGCATAACCAGATCTTTCGCTAGTAAGTTATTCAAACTCTCTGTGACTCCATTTGTCCCATGGTAAAATGAAAATATAAATAGTACTGTATGTGGTAAAGATTAAGTGTTAGTAAGTTATTCAAACTCTCTGACTCCATTTGTCTCCTGGTAAAATGAAAACACAAACAGTACTGTACGTGGTGAAGATTAAGTGACAAAGTAACCACTCGGTAAGTTTAAATTGATATGCATTTAAAGACTTCCTCGTTGCTGCTATGTGGTCCCAAGGTCACTGATAAAGATGCAATGCCATCTGATGTTTGGCTGCTTTAGCCAGTGCTGACCCAACAGAGGGCAATGTTGGAAAAACCACCCACAGAAGAAATTGTGAAAGGTGAATTTTGCTGCTTTATCCAGTCTTTTCCTTGACTAAGTAGGGCCATCTTTGCCACTCCCAACCTTCTGAGAAATGCAGTCTTTGACAGATGATGTCTTAGATGATGACAATTAGGAGCCCATGTGTATAGAAACCTATACTCCCATTGCCCACTGGTAAGAATAAAGCAGGGTACTTTGGAGTCAAACAGGCTTCAAATCAAGGAGGCATCCTGAAATATCTTAATTTTTGTCCATTCCAGGGAAGGAGCCATCCTGTCAATCAGGGGCCAGCTGCACCAAGCCCGTGGATTGACAGACACAAAGATAAGAGAGCAGGGGCTAGCTCAGGAGATGATAAACCATGATGACGATACAGACAGCAGGGTTGGTATGAGGGTCTAGCCAGGTTTCCACACGCAGCAGCTGTCAAGGGAAACATCCTCAGAGTAGGGAGTGTCCAAGGCTTCATTCAGAGAACAATGTGGTATTATGGACTTTGTAGCTCTGTGGGCCCTACTGTGCGCTCCCTGCTCTGTTGTCCTTAGTGCTACTCACCAACTATTTCTAGTTTTCCTACTTCTGGGTATATGGCAAGGTTGCACTTGCTGGTCCCCTTGTGGTTGTTGGGGGGGGGGCAGTGTGACCAGATCTAGCCAATGAGCTACGAGCAGAAGTGACACTCCAAGCCTGGAATAGTTAATGGCCAGAGTCAGACAGGGTGGTTTCTCTAGCTGTGTCTTTTACTCCCAATGGGCCAGTTGTTGGATATTCCCCTCAAATGGGGAATAATTCGGGGTGAGGCAGCTTGGTTTGTTCACAGTTCTCTGGTCTGACCTCAAATCCATCCTCTGTGTATGAAACCAGAGCAGCGGAAGTAGGGCAGGTAAGCAGAGGTTGTGATTCCCAGGCCATGGACTGACCTTGTTTTCCCCTCTGCTTTCAGAGAACATAATGACACCAAAGGATAGGGGATCAGTTTTGCCCAATAAATACAAGAGAAAAAAAATATTTCATTCCAATGATAATAGGCCTCACTTCCGAAGAAGAAAACCGTTTTTGTCTGTTTGCTTTGCCTTGCTTTTCCTTCAGTTCTCTAATGGAGGTCTTCCGGCTCATAGACTGATTGATGGTGAGAAATACAAATACTGAAGCTGAATGCCACCTCTACCTGTCCCCACTGCACCTCCCCCTACATCAGCCCCTCACCAAGCTCCAGTCGCTGTGGCAGCTGTGAGCTCCTGGGAACCTCTGCCTGCCTTTAGACACACTCAAAGAACACACCCCATTTCCAGGCTCATCGGCCTGGCTTTGGAACTGCCAGAGTGATCCTACAGCCAGCAGCTGCCTCCTGTGGGTCCCAGGGGTTGAGGTTGTTTCCTTTGGCTGGCTGATATTGGTGAAAACATTTCAGAGTGTGAGGTGGCTGTGTGAGGGTGTGCCCATGCCTTGTGTGTGTGTACAAGCACACAGATGTGCACGTGTATGGGGAGGAGGCAACTGGTATATACTTCAGCACGGATTAAACTATACAAATTTTGCTGCGCTTTACATGTGCTGCTGTGATGAGGTTCTTGGGTACAGAAATGACAAACCAGACAGGAGCCCTTAGGAGATAAAATAGCTACAGGTCTGCCTACAGCCCTGGTTAGAAGGGATATACTTAGCATGGAAGGAAGCCCATGCCAAGCAGCATTCCAACATACCTTCATGCTGACGGGACACCCTTCCCGGTGCACAAGCCTGCTAAACACACCCCAGATTACAATATACTATCCTAGAATAAGTCTTCCTTCCATCACCAAAATGGTGACCAAAAAAATAGCAACCATGATCACTTTTTTTTAAGACAAGTTCTCCCTCTGCCACCCAGACTAGAGTGCAGTGGCACAATCACAGCTCACTGTTACCTCACTATAAACATTCCTCCTGACTCAGCCTCCCAAGTAGCTGGGACTACAGGCATGTGCCACCACACCAAGCTACCTTATTATTTCTTTATTTTTTACACAGACAGGGTCTCACTATGTTACCCAGGCTGGCCTCAAACTCCAGGGGCTCCAGTGACCCTCCCACCTCCCAAAGTGATGGAATTACAGAAATTAGCCACCACGTCTGGCCCTTGATAACTCTTAAGCCACATACCTCACTCCTTGTTTCTTTACAGTCCTTTGAGTCACTTGAGCCCATCCTATACATTGTTGCTTGCATTACTACATCTATACCCTTTGCTGCTGGCCTTGGGTTTGGGCATGTGACTTGTGTGACTAATGAAATAAGATAGAAGTGATGGGGTGTCAGTTATAAGCCTGGGTCCCAGGAAACCCTGTGTGTTTCAGCTGGCTCTCACTAGGACCTCCACAATGCCCATAAGAGCCCCTGTGCTAGTTCACTGGTCCTAGGGGGAGAGGGGAACCCTATGGACCCACACAGGCTTGGGCAAGCCCACAAAGCACCCCTCAGATCCGCTGAGCCACAGGTATGTGAGCTAAAAATAAATAATTGCTCTAAATCCGGGGTGGTTTGCTTTGTAGCAACAGCTAACCAGTAATCACACTGCCGTCTGTATCTTCCTCTGGAATACAGGCTCCATGTCTGCCTTTGTTCAGCTTCTAGAAAAGGATCTGGAGCATGACAGGTGTTTAAAAGACTGTGTCAAGCGGGTGAATTAGATTGCTTCTGTGTTGGAGAATGTGTGATGCCAAGATGCCTGTCACATTTAGCTTACTATAATGCAAGATCTCCTAATAATCTAGACCAGCTCTGGACGCAGTGAAGAAAATTCCACAGAGTACAGCCTGAGCAGGTGGGTTCTTGGAGATCTTTTGTAGAGGACACTTTAGGGTGTGACATCCTTCTAAATTTTCTTAGTGCATAAAGTGTCCACATGTCTAAGTATAAAGCAGAAAATACCTTTATCTGTTTAGGTTCTGTCCCAATATAGTGTCTTCTCTGAACACGTTTAATACAACCACAACTTCTGCACTAGCCGTGGAGATGAAACCATTAGGGACTTCTGTGTGGTCTCAGTTAAACTGGCCTGTCTTTGGGACTTTGGTCCCTTCTTAACAGTAAAATCGGGCATTCAGACACCAGTTTTATCCTGTGAACAAGAAGCAGTTTAAACCCCCCTCTAGGTGTCTCCCTTACCCAAAATTAGTGGCTGGGGTTATTTCCACACAGAATCATCTCCGCATCAGTTCAGCAAAGGAGTGCTTTTCAGAGTGTAGCCCCAGACCAGCAGCAGCTGCATCACCTGAGAACTTGTGAGAAATAAAAATTCTCAGGTAGGTCAGGTCCCTAGATTTACTGATTTGAAAATTCAAGGGTGGGGTCCCACATCCTGTGTTTTACAAGCCCTTGGAATGCAAACTTCAAGAAGCACGACTCTAGAGAATTCGCCACAACTCATTTATGAATATTCACCTACTCATCAAAAAAAATTCTCAACGTGCCTGTCACACATTAGCCTCTGAGCGAGGCAGCAGGGAAAGAAGTGATAAGGTG